CTATTCTGCTGTTTGCTGTTGCTGTTGTTTCGTGGCTCCGCTCGAATTGTGGCTTATCTACTTGCCCGGATCCTGTTACGTGCTGTGCAATCCACTCGCTCTGTCTGTCCGCACAAACAACAGGCAAGACAGGGCGCGTTCTGTCATGGAAGGAGAGGATGCGGATTGCTCTTGACGCGGCGAGCGCGCTTCACTACCTGCACAAGGAGATGAGGCCCGGCATCATTCATCGTGATATCAAGGTATCTTATGGCATTATACAGTGGTGGCTATTTACTGCAATTTTTTTTTAAGGTACGTGCTAACCTCTACCTGCACAAGGAGATGAGACCCGGCATCATCCATCGCGATATCAAGGTATGTTACTGTAAATACTGTGTAACAGTAGAAGCTCTGTCAAAGTCTGTTCTGCAATACCTCTAAAGAGCATATGGTACGATTCACTTGCACAAGGAGATGAGGCCCGGGATCATCCATTGCAATATCAAAGTATGACAGTATACTATACACAGTGGTAGCTATTTTCTGCACATATTGTTTGAAAAGGTATACAAGCCACTATCTACCTGCACAAGGAGAGCATCATCCACCGTGATAATAAGGTGTGCAACCATCCAAGTGTACCAGAAAATATATATTTAAACCATCATGTTTTAATTCAAGGTGCACAACAATCATGTACCATCCACACCACCTGTACTGTGCTTGTAGTAGAAGAAATAATACCAATCGACAATCGAAACTAATGATATGCCACCTCCACCCACATGTAGCTTTTTGGGCAAAGGGGCAACAACATCAAGCTCCAAAACTTATTATGATTGCTACCATCATCAAAGCTTCATGGCTTGCTACCAACATTAAAGTCTGCAGCCCTCGCTGCACAGCACGCGTGTACCCCCATTCCCCTTAAAACCCAGGGTCCACAGGTTTCATAGGTAGGAAGGTTGGTTGGACTTTGTGACAAAACCAAAGGTAGGAAGCTTGGTTGGACCTTGTAACCCAACCAAAGGTAGGAAGGATGAGGCAACTTCGGGAAACTTGAGACCCGGTTTTAATAATCTCATCCTATCTCCAGCGTTCCCCCTCTATTTCCTCTCCTCTCCTCTCCTCTCCTCTCCTCTCCTCTCCTCTCCTCTCCTCTCCTCTCCTCTCCTCTCCTTCCCAGCCCGCCAACATCCTGCTGACAGCATCTCTTGAAGCCAAGGTGGCCGACTTTGGCATTTCCAAGTCGCTGCCAGAAAAGGGCGAGCTGCTGCAGGAAGCAGTTTTCATGGGCAGCAAGGTGAGAACACGAAACAAGGTGAGAACACGTAACAAGGTGAGAACACGTAACAAGGTGAGATGATTGGCAGCAAGGTGAGAGCAGCAAGGTCAGATCATTGTGAGCAAGGTGAGAACACGTAACAAGCTGTTGGAAAAGGGCGAGCTGCTGCAGGAAGCAGTCTTCATGGGCAGCAAGGTGAGAACAGCAAGGTGAGAACAGCAAGGTGAGAACAGCAAGGTGAGAACAGCAAGGTGAGAACAGCAAGGTGAGAACAGCAAGGTGAGAACAGCAAGGTGAGAACAGCCATGTTGTCCACCCCTCTCTCTCCCCATACCCCACTCGCAACCTGCAGGGCTACATCGACCCGCACTTTGCGGTATCAGAGGTGCTGACAGAGCACAGTGACGTGTTCAGCTTCCCATTCCGCTCTCTTCCCCCTCTCTTTCCTCCTCCCCCCACTTCCACCACGCGCAACCTGCAGGGCTACATCGACCCACACTTTGCCGTATCAGAAGTACTGACGGAGCGCAGTGACGTGTTCAGCTTTGGGGTGGTGCTGCTGCAGCTCTGTTATCAACCCCCCATTCCTTCTCTCCCCATCCCCCTCTCTTCCCCCAGGGCTACATAGACCCGCACTTTGCTGTATCAGAAGTTCTAACGGAGCGCAGTGACGTGTTCAGCTTCGGGGTGGTGCTGCTGCAGCTGGCCACGGGGCAGCCGCCCGTCATTCAGGGCGTCCCTCTCAGCCAGGTCGTGCTGCACCTCGCCTTCGGCCCCCACGGCCTCTCCGCTGCTGTCGACCCCAAGCTCTCCCACTTCCTCCGCGTCCGCGCTGATCCCACTGCTGCTGCTACTGCTGCTGCTGCTGCTAATGGTGCTGCTGCTGCTGCGGGTGGTGCTGGTGCTCCTGGTTCTGCAGCGGGAGGCGAAGTGAGTGCGGGGGAGATGGTGGAGGGGTTGGAGGAGACGTTCGGCACGTTCCTGCGGGTGGCGCTGTGGTGCACGGCAGAGCACCCCTCGCTTCGTCCCGACATGGAGCAGGTCGTATCTGCGCTGCGCAGCATCAGGGACCAACTCCGGGCGCTACCTGGGGGAGGCGTTGCTGCTGATGGCTCACTTCCCCACCATGCCACCGCTGCAGCAGCAGCAGGTGCGGGTGCTGCTGTGGGTCCTGTAGGATCTATCCCTAACGGCGGCAATGGTTACAACGCAGCTGCTGGTAACCAGCATATGAATTATCACCCGAATGCTGGTGCCACTGCTACTGCTGGTGGCGCTGGCGGTGGCATCGGTGGTGCTACTGCTGGCGGATACACCACAGGTGCAGCAGCAGGGCTCAGCCCAGGGGGGGGTAGATCTCCTGAGACTGGGACTGGGCTGACAGGGGCGCCATCTAGTCTGACCACTCTGTGGAATCCTATGGGGGGTTCTTCGTCCGGTCAACCCGGGTCAAGCTGGTCAAACCTGGGTGAGGAGCAGACGACGTTGATGGATGGGTATGGCGACACCGGCACACAGAACCACACCTTGACAGGACCCCGGGCCCGGTAGATGCGACTTTGTCTGGTCAACTGGGGTCAAACTGGTCAACATGGGTGAGGAGCAGGGATTGATGGATGGGATGGGGATACGGGAACAAAACCACATGTTGGCTGTGCCTCGTGCCCGATAGGTGCCGCTTTTCTGGTCAACCAGGGTCAATCCGATTGGTTATTTCGGAGCTCACTTGCTGATCCTTCATCTGCTATATAGGATAGATTGTACATTTGTTTGGTGCGTAATGTTGAAAATCAATCAAAATTATTCTTAGAACCCTCAGCTGAAAGTGCCATAAAATGGGTGAAAACAAGTTCTATAAGGGTCTGTGTGTGTATGTATACACCAATGGAGCATTAATTTCTGAACGAATGTAAGACCGCCGCTTCACGACACAACAATTCACGACGGTCCCTGCTTGACGGCCCTTAGCAATACCCGGTTACGACGTGAGCACGGCAATTTCTGTTAGAGGCCGTCAGCATCTCAACTCCTCCCCTATTTCCCTTCCCATCCCACACGTTTTTACGAAGCAACAAGCGGCTCGCGAGCAACCACGCGGCTTTGCGAAGCGCCAAGCCGTTTCGCGAAGAACCACGTGGATTCGCGAACCTGCTGGGCGTGTCCCATCAGGAGCTTTCTCATTGCCTCTTGACGGTGCGGGATGGTTCTAGAACCACCGTCACAACTCCTATAAATATAATCCCCAGGTGGTGGAGCCATCATTCAACCTACTATTTAAGAAACCAGCTTACTATCAGACCAGCTTACGACGATCTCAAACCTACGACAGCACCCTATTGGACATAAACTCGACTGGTCGTGAATATTACAATATGATTGTAATCAGAGGATGGCTTCGGGATGTCAGATTTGCTTTTCGAGCGACAACAACCCCACGTTTTCGCACCTCCTTACGCGAGCCATTATCATCCCCAACCGTCACCTTGGAACTTTTCCTCCTCGCCATCTTCGCTTTTTGGCGATCCGCTCCTTTTCAACGACGGCTTTGACTCGCCTTCGGGGAACTTGGGGCAGAGACGACGCAATGACACGCGGAAACATGAGAGCGCGCGGAAGCAGCAAGCGCACGAGCTTGACGCGCAAAGGCAGGCAGCGCGCGCGGGAAGGGCGCAGCAAGATGTGAATGAAACAAAGAATCGACAACCACAGAAGCAAGGACAAACAGTTTTCCGTCAAATACCCGTGCAGCACCCAGCAAGCAATAGTAGAACGCGACCCGCCACGCCGGCAGCGTCGCCAATGGCGGGCGTCGCCCGCATTTCTGCTGCTAGAGTCGCTCCCGTATCGCTATTAGCGGCTGACGATGCTGCTCGGAAGTTGCAAGCAGCATGGCGGGGTTTTTCTGTGCGCCAAGGCAAGCCTCTCGAACTGGCTCGGTCCATAGCTGACGTTCGGAAACTGGTTAGCGAGATGGACGCGCAGCTTCGGGATAACGATTTCGTGGCTAAGATGGCTGCCGACCCTATGGAGAAGCTTCGGGTGAGCGAGACGATCATGAGCTGGCTGCTTCGGTTGGACATGGTGCAGTCCCCGAACCAGGACGTTCGGAACTTACGGCGGGACATGGCCAGGAAGCTGACGAAGCTGCTAGACAGGGTCGACATTCTCACAAGTACTCAACCACAGGAGGCTGAGGCTCCCCTTGAAGTTGCTGCTGACACGGGTGTTACCACAATGGACGATTCAAGAGTGGATGTAGACTCACCATGCGCGAGCGACGATTGCTGCCATTTTGACAGTCAATGCAGGGACAATAGCTCTATGAGCAGTGAGAGCTCTGATGTTGTCACAAGCACGCATCAGGTGGGGAGAGTGGCGAAGAGGCAAAAGCAGAGGCATTGGAGGGATGCCTTGTGGCAGTGGAAGGAGAGAATGGGTGGAAAGCGAGGTGGTGCATGATACGTAGTACGTAGAGCTGTACATTTTGGTACCACATACCCCTGAATACCGCAAGGGTACATGGGGAAATTAGGAATTGTACCGTACCTTTTACTCTAAGGATATCATGTTTTATTTCAACCAACACAGGTCAACAACAGTCAAGCCAAGCCAACAATGCAGCACTACTGGGCATGGGGGCCTGTGAGCGTCTAATGATGCGTTCCAGTGTCATCATACCCATCCTCGTATCGTATGACAGGTCTATTTTTTAGTCAACTCAAAAATAGAGTCACTATCGGGCATGGGGGCCTGTGAGCATCTGATGGTGTGTGCCAGTGTCATCATACCCATCCATCCCTCCCTGCTCCACCTCAAAATTTGACCAGCTTGACCCCGGTTGACCGCTGGGAGGAGTTTGTTTCTGAGGCACCTCAAAGTTTGACCAGTTTGACCTGGCTTGACCACTGGAAGCCGGCGTGTGACTCCAAAGAGTTGACAGGCTGGCAGCCCCTCCTGTGAATCCGGTCTCAGGAGACCGGGCGGCAGGAGAATAACCGCCTCCTGCACTGCTGGCACGAGTGGCTAGCGACACATCAGCAGCAGCACCGTAACTGCTGGCGCTGCTTGGGACTACCCCTGCGGGGCCCACAGGAGTGCCTCCCCCAGGTAGCGCCCGGAGGTGGTCCCTGATGCTGCGCAGTGCAGATACGACCTGCTCCATGTCGGGACGAAGCGAGGGGTGCTCTGCTGTGCACCACAGCGCCACCCGCAGGAACGTGCCGAACGTCTCCTCCAACCCCTCCACCATCTCCCCCGCACTCACTTCGCCTCCCGCTGCAGAACCAGGAGCACCAGCACCACCCTTAGCAGCAAAAGCTCCGTAATTGGAAGCACCGTTTACGCCAGCAGCAGCGTGGAAAGAGGCACCATATGATGCACCAGCAGCAGCAGGAGCAGCTTCACTGGCCTGGGGAAGAAGCTGAGAGAGTTTGGGATCGATGGTGGAGGCAAGACCGTGGGGGCCGAAGGCGAGGTGCAGCACGACCTGGCTGAGCGGCACTCCCTGAATGACGGGCGGCTGCCCCGTGGCCAGCTGCAGCAGCACCACCCCGAAGCTGAACACGTCACTGCGCTCCGTTAGTACCTCTGATACAGCGAAGTGCGGGTCTATGTAGCCCTGAGGGTGGGGGGGTGAAGGGAGAGAGGGGAATGGATGGATGCCAACAGAGTAACTGTGTAAAGTGCAGGTCGATATAGCCCGGTCGAGTGACTGGGGCGGAGGGGGAGGACAACAAAGAGAGATTGACGGAGCAAAGTGGGGGTGTATGCAGTGTTGGGGAGAAGGGATAGGAGAGAGAAGGGAGACACACATGGAACTGGCTATTGAGCATCAAGGTGTTTTTTTATTCGATTAAAAAATCGCTTCATCACACGAGAGAGAAACGCATGGGACTGGAGGACCTAGAGTGCAGCTGGAGCAATAAGCTGAGCGAATACTCGCCTCGTTTTACCACTCGCCATGATGGGGCAATGTGGCCTTACGTCAATAATGGTTGACGAGGGAACAGGTAACTGTTTTTTGCTTGGCTTTCTCCTCTCATACTTCACCAATTCTCACCTTGTTACCAAAATAGTTAGTTATTCATTCATTCTTTCTTTCTTTTGGTTTTGCTTTTCTCACCTTGCTGCCGATGATCTCCTCCTGCACCAGCTCGCCCCTTTCTGGCAGCGACTTGGAAATGCCAAAGTCGGCCACCTTGGCTTCAAGAGATGCTGTCAGGAGAATGTTGGCGGGCTGGGGGGGAGAGGAGAGAAGGGAGAAAGAGGTCGAAGGGAAAGGTTAAAAAAAGAAGCGTGGCGATAGGTTGAGAAAAAGTGTGCCTGGATTGTGAACAGTGGGGATAGGTTGAGAAATGATTGGGAGTAAATGCATGGCTTACAGAAATGACTGCAGTGATTGATATCACAGCGAGAGCAAATACGTCCTATAAACATTGCAGCATAGCCCCTGTATGTATGGAATCATACTTTGATATCACGGTGGATAATGCCGGGTCTCATTTCCTTGTGCAAGTAGTGAAGCGCACTCGCCGCATCAAGAGCGATCCGCATTCTCTCCTTCCATGATAAAGGACGCCCCATCTTACCTGCAAGGCAATCAATCAGGTGGTCGTAAACAGAATGGAAAGAACGTACAAGACAACACAAATGCTTCCAACAAGGGTAAAGGCAATATCACGTGTAGTCAAACCTTTAATCCACACACCCAACCGCACACAACCGCACTGCATTCAACGTGAACCCACCTTTGATCCAGGCGTCCAGCGCCCCCCTCCATAAACTCAAACACCAGCCTTCTCCACACAAGAACCCACCCTTCATCCACACACCCAACCGCACTCAAACGCAGTCAACCGCACACAACCGCACTCTATCCAATGTGAACCCACCTTTGATCCAGGCGTCCAAAGCCCCCCCCTCCATGAACTCGAAGACCAGCAGCTGCTCGTCCTGCTCCACACAGAAGCCAGTGAGCTTCACCAGGTTGCCGTGAGACACGGCTGTCAGCATCTCTATCTCGTTCTTGAAATCCACTCCTGCATGCCGGTGCTTCTCTGTCGCTTTCTTTATCGCCACCGACTCGCCGTTCAGAATGCCGTGGTACACCTGGGGTAGGACCGACGGGGGGAAGCATACTTCCAACTTAAGTCGCAAATTTGATTTTGGAGGTGCATAACAAGCATAACAAAAAAACACTCGTTAATGAGAATCCCAGGGTACGGGATAGGGGGGAAATATTGTATAGGTCTATAAGCAAGAGATACCCTTCATAGGATGACATAGCCTCGACATGTGTATGAGAAAAAGGACTTGTGATAATGTGCACAATGGTGGGCAAGAGAGGGATATTGGAGGGCAAGAGAGGGATATTGGAGGGCAAGAGAGGGATATTGGAGGGCAAGAGAGGGATATTGGAGGGCAAGAGAAACAGGACGTGGGCAACAAAGACATACTGCTTCCAAGCGGCCAGAATATGATTGCTGAGATACCTGAGAAACGTGATACAAGTGACGTGGAGGTGTGGAGAGAACAGATGATGCTGGGACACAAGTGACATCAACAATTGATGACGCACAAACGAAACAAAAAACTTTGACAACGGCATTACGCCTTGTGGCTTCATGTCAGGTTCACCTTGCGGTAACCGCCCGTGCCCAGCACGAGCGGGTCAACAAAGACATTAGCTGCCTCTGTCAGCTAACAAGAACTACTTTCACATCTCTCCCTTACAACACTGTTTCACCCTCTCAAGAAGCCACAGAAATTGCCTTCCTCTCCCTCCCTCCCTCCTAGCCTTCACCTTGCCATAGCCTCCCATGCCCAGCACAAGAGAGTCATCAAAGCAGTTGGTAGCCTCTGCCAGCTAACAGAATCACCTTCTGAAACCCTCCATTTCAATGCTACCTTCCCACAAGGGCACACCAAAAGGCTTTTCCACGCTCTCACACCTACCTTGCCATAACCGCCCGCGCCCAGCACAAGAGAGTCATCAAAGCCGTTGGTTGCCTCCGCCAGCTGTCGCAGCTGTCATGCCCTCTCATGCCCTCCATGCCCTCTCACACCTACCTTGCCGTAACCGCCCGTGCCCAGCACAAGCGAGTCATCAAAGCCGTTGGTTGCCTCCGCCAGCTGTCGCAGCGAGTAGCGGCGGGCTTGCTGCAGGGTAATGCCCTCCAGTGCCTCGTAGTCCGCATGGCTCCACCCTGTCAACAGGGGGGTGGGGGGAGAGAGGATGAATGGGAGTGCCAAGGGTAAGGGAAGGGAGTAGTGCCGCGCGTGCTGCAGGGTTATGCCCTCCTGTGCCTCGTAGTCCGCATTGCTCCACCCTGGCCGGAAGGGAGGATGGACGACAGGCAAGAGAAGGAAGAAGGGGTGGAAAGGGGGAGAGCAACGAGCGTGCTGCAGGGTGACGCCCTCCGTGCCTCGTAGTCCGCATTGCATGGCTCCACCCTGCAGTGAGAGGATGAATGGGTGCGAGAGGATTGGGAGGGGATTGGGAGGGGATTGGAGGAACATGGATAGGAGTTGATGAATGGATGAAAGAATCAACTGCCGATTGGCGCAATCCCGTGCCTGTAGAGTTAGAGCAACTGAAAGGGCAACAGGGTGAAATCATTGGTAAGTGGAAAGAGGCGTGTGAGTCTGCAAGGCCATGCTCCATGCCAAACTGTTCTCTATCACACAAACCAATTTGATGGTTTGTTTTTGCGTTTTCTAAACATACTTGTCTTAAAATTGGAAAACTATGGACCACATGCCTATTACATTCAAAAGTTCGTTCAAGGGTCATGGATAGTCATGATTCCGCCTAAACGGAATCTGACGACCTGGTGAAGTGAATCTCGGTTGTTACACAGTGACATGTGTAACACACATTTGCGGAATGACATAATCCATGTCATTTGCTTTGTTGTCATGCGCTATATACTGCAGCAATGGCTCCGTGACTGTGGGGACTTGGTGAAGCTATAGTGAAATCCTTTCCCACAAAGCTTCAGAGGCTGAGCAGACCTGTAAGCCAGAGTGCAATGACCGCACCACAGTAGCTTCTTGGCACATCAATATCCCGCTCATCTCCTGTCTTCTGCCCACCTCTTACCTCCCTCCCGAAGTCTCCTCCCTCTCACCTTTCCTTTTCTTCTTCTCTTCCCCTCGCCTTTCTCTTCCGTCTCACCCCTCTCCATACTCACACCATTCACTCCTCTCAATGATGGTGATGACAACAGAAGCAGAATCTGAGTTGACTTTTGAGTGGAAATAAAACTCTCTCCATGAGTGAGGGTGATGACAACATGAGGGTGATGGCAATAGAAGCGAAATCTGAGACGGGCCGAAAATCACTCACTTTTCTTCTCCCAGGGACGCATGAGCAGACCGACAATGAGGGCGATGGCAACAGCAGCGGAGCACACTGAAATGGCAACAATAGCACCCGTGCTCAGCCCGGACGCGGCCGGCTGCAATGGGGGGTTGTAGGCTGCGGTGTGAAAGAGCGCGCAGAGACAGGAGGAGAGAAACGAGAAACACTGAGATGGCCACGACGGCACTTGCGCTCAGCCCAGACGAGGGCTGCTGCTGCGATGGAGGGTTGTAGGCGGTACGGAAGGAGGGAAAGAAAGGAAAGGGTACACAGGCAAAGGGTAAAATGGAAAAAGAGAGAGAGAGGAGTCTGAGATGGGGACAATGGCGCCTGTGCTAAGCCCAGATGTGGTCTTGTGCAGTGGGGGGGAAGTGAAGGCTGCATTTAGAAGAAGGGAATGGGTACGCAGGTGACGAGAAAACTCAAGAGATGGTAGAGAGTTGAAGGTGGGGCAGAAAAGAGGGATAGCACAGAAAGCTGAAGTCTTCAATTGAGAAGAACAAAGAAAACAGGCGACCATAAGTAAAGGGGTGGTCACAAGCTTGTAAGACCAAAGAAGACAATCACATGCGAAAGCAGCTCGGGAAAAAATGTAGAGCGGCAAAAAAAAAAAAACGGATGAAGTAACTCAGAGACTATCACATTGTGCAACTCACGCACCGGGCGGTACAACCGCGCCACTCGGAAAAGAGTAATGCACTCCGCAAGGCCCCTCAAGCCTTAAGGTGAGGCCGTTGCGAGTGCCCTGTGGCGTGTCTCGAGGAAACATACTCCAGCTCAGGAGCCAGACAAGCAGGGGAAACGACTTTTGAGACGCTTCAATAGTCGTTGTGAGTGCCCTGTGGCGTGCCAGGAGGAAACATACTCCAGCAGCTCACGAGCCAGACAAACAGGGGAAACAGCCAATCTTACGCACTGGACCATAGAACCCCGCCACTCGAAAGAGCCCAAAGTTGCCGAGAGCAACGCGCACGGCACGGTCCCTGGTGGTGAAGGTGCTGCGGATACTAGGTAGCCTGTGATGTGCCTCTCCGGGAAAACAAGCTCCAATCCATCTCACATGCCAGACAGACAAACACATACGGCAAACTCACGTGCTGGGCCGTAGAAGCCAACCACTCGAAAGAGCCCAAAATTGCCGAGGGCAACGCGCACGGCAAGGTCCCTGGTGGTGAGGGCGCTGCGGATGGCCTGCGGTGTGTCTCGCGGGTACCAGCTGCCATCAGCCCCCGGCGGGAAGAAGAGGACGGTGATGATGAGCGTGGACTGGTGGTCTGTGTGGTCCGAGGCGAAGGTGGCGGCGAGGGAGGAGAGAGAGACGAGGCTGTTGATGGAAGTGATGAGAATCTGGGGGGGGGGGGGAGGAGGGAAGTGATGGGTGGACGGAAGGGGGAAGTGGGTGGAGGGGTTGGGGGAGGAGAAGGGGAAGGGGGGCGATGGGTGTCATGCAAGTGTCAACAGTCCTGTGAAAGGCAACTGACCTGCATCCTGCTAATCTTGGTCTAAGCCTTGCTGGTGAGCCGTGCTGGTGAGCTCAGAGAAGACCCGCTGCCCCATCTGCAACTCAGAGTAAACCCAGACGTCAACTGTCCTAGAAAGCTCACCTTTGAACGACAACTCACCCACACCTAATCTTGTTTGCTCTGAGCCTCCCTATTGAGCTCAAAGAAGATGCTCTAATCCAAGTTTGGATCCCTGCCTGTCCCATGTTGAGTGCAATACATGGTTTGCACGGCAACCTACCACCTATTCATCGTTGTTGAGTGAAAGTGAGGTGTCTCGTTTGAAGGTAATTTGTTGTGTGTTTACGGCTCGTGAATCGCTTCAATGGTTCATGAGTTATGTGTGTTCATGAGTGCTCTTGAATGTCCGAGAGTGATTGCGAGTCTTCGTGTGTGTTTGCGTTGGTCGCGAGTTGTCATGAGTGTGCATGAATTTTCTGTTCGTGAAATTCAGTGAAGTCTGCGCTGTTTATGAATGTTTGTGAGCGTTCATGTTAGTTTATGTTTCTCTGTGTTCATTTGTGTTCGTAAAGATGACTTTGCGTTGGTCAAGGTCAAAGTTGCCCGTGCGTGTGGCCAGGATTTTGCCCGTGGGCCCTCAGGGCCCGAGCGTGTGGCTTGCAATGTCAACGGGAGTTGTGTGTTGGCCCCGTCCTCGCTTGGACGGAGCCGACTTCGTGGTCGGGTGTAGGGGTGCAGCCGACCTGCAGCAGTGGGCGAGCTGGTCGACGAGGTTGGTCGACTTGCACGGGGAGCCACTGCATGGGCGCCGACTTCGGAAGGCGCTAACTTTGGGTGGTCGACCTGGGAAGTCGACCTGCAAAAGGCGTCGACCTGGTGACGCCATCTTGGGGCAGCCGACTTGGGTGGTCGGCTAACAGTGTTGCTGGTCGACTTGGTTGGTCGACCAGACCTGCTGGTCGACTTGGTTGGTCGACCAGGCCCGCTGGTCGATTTTGTGGCTGGCCGACCAGCCGTGAGGTCGACCTGTTGGTCGACCAAACATGATGGTCGACGAGGAGCTGGTCGACCAGGAGTGACGTCGACTTGGAGCTGGTCGACCAGGGGTAGTGGTCGACCTGGTGAGGTCGACCGGAGGTGGCCGTCGACTTGGGAGGTCGACGGGCACGCACAGGAGCAGCTGGTCGACGTGGTTGCCCAGTCGACCAGGTTACCTGGGTGACGAGGGTCTACGAAGGCGCGCGAGAGTCACTCAAGCGATGTTGGCGAAGGCGACCTCGGTATTCGGTATCCCGAGGTCGACGTGGCTGATCAGAAGCAGTCGTCAGCACGAAGTTGACTTAGTGTGTGCGTGACAAGGCACTGCACGCCAATCATCTGCGCGCACCTGCGAAGCGGGTGCGATGCTGTACTGCGGGAGCAACGCTGGCACGCCGTCGACTTGCGCTGTTGTCACACCGTCGACCTGCAGCGTTGGCAGGCCGCGTCTCTGCACTGCTGGAGCGCGGTCGACCAAGTCGTGCTGGCACGCGGTCGACCATGCTGCGCTGGCAGTAGACTTGCTTGCATGCTAGCTCTGATGTAGTCCTACCTTGCCAACTTCATTGTATCATTGTTGTGAACTTTTCCTAGTGGAACTCTTTCCAATTCTTCCTGTGAACTAGCAAGTAGTGTACGCACAAGGAAACGACTAAGGATCTAAGTTGGAATATACGCGTTTTGAGTTTTGTACGCACGCGTGTATACGCTAGAGTATAGTACGCAATACGTCCAGAGCAGGCTTTGATATACGCTGGAAATACGGTGGTCCGGGCAGGGGAAAAACTTTCCCGGGCAGGGTAAAAAAAAGGTTCTGGAGAGGGGAGGGGGAGGGGGCACTTATCACCCATACCTCTTCCCTCCCCATATTTTTTTTCCCATTAAATAACATGCAAATACATAGCAAATTCCAGGCGGCCTGCACCCCCTTCAATGCCCAACTACTCCCACAAAGAGCAACTACCGTCTCCCCATCATACCCCCTCCCTTCCCTCCCTCATCCTTTGCAAATCCAGCCTTATACTATCCCACTCGTACTCCTTACCTCTCTGCTGCCCACGCCCCTTTCTACTCAACATACTCATCCTGCATCACGTCATCCTCCCCCTCCTCCACCTCCTCCTCCCGATCTTCTTTGTACCCCTCAGGGATGGGAGGCTCCGGAATGTTCCCCGGCAATGCCCCCATCCCCTCCTCGGCCTTGTGCCAGTTGTGCACAATGTTCCAATTGTGCGCAACAAACACTAGGTCGCGGCATTTTTCAGACCCCAACCTGTTGCGCCGTGCGGTGTGGACAGCGTCCCACATAGCCCAATTCCGCTCGCATGCAGCGGCGGAAACGGGCTGGGAGAGGACCCGGCAAGCCAGGGCAGTCGGCTCTGGGTTGTCGGTGCCGTGCCAGGTCCACCACTGGACCATGGTCTTCTTCCCTGCCTTGACGAGCTCACGGTCAGAAACCGCCTCAGGCAGGCCGAAACTTCCCTGAAGCGTCATGAATGCCTCCAGCCCCTCCTGCAGGACATGGGCGGCCCGGCGCTCCTCACCATCCTTCCGCGTGATGGTGATGCCGTCGTAGTGGCGGTTGATGTAAGACTTGAAGATGCGGGTGCACTCCAAGTCGCTGCGGAAGATACCTTCCTCTTGGTTGAGGGGGTTCAGGATCCGCCCCACAACATGCATGGCACATGCCATGCTCCCATCCCAGCGGCGGCCCACGATCTTGGTAATCTCCGTCTTGTCAGCCCGGGTCAGCACCTCGTCCGCCTCTTCAAGCTTGGCGTTCACATCTTCAGTGAGTTGAAGCATCATGTCGTAGATGCGCCCCATCATGCCTTTCTTGGTTGAGTCGGTGGCGCGCATCACGACGAACGGCAGCTTCAACAATGCGCTGAAGTAAGAAGCCTTCTTCCACCACGGGTCATCCATGATGTTGGACTTGAAGCTGGCGGCGCCTTCTTTCCTTGTTTTCGCAAACTCCACCCAATCCTCGCTCAGCACCATCTGCACGAGAGAGACCCGCACCTCACAAAGCCGAGAAACAGCAATAAACTGCGTGCCAAACCTTGTGCCCGCCGGCTTCAGCACTTGCTTCCCTTTTCCCCCCTGCACTTGCGGGCTCCTCAGGTACCCACGGGTGAAGTGATGGCTGCGCAAATGGGTGATGATCTCGTTGGCCCGCTCCACGACGTTCTTTGCCCAATCCATCCGCCCCACATCCTCCATGAGCAGGTCCATGACGTGCGTCGCGCACGGCACGAACTCAATGTGGGGCCACTCAAGTGCCAACTCCTTGAAGGCGCTTGCGTAATTGCTCCCGCCGTCCACGCAGAGAGACACCACGTGCTCGGGGCCGACTTTCTTCACAATGGGGCGGAGGACGCTGGCGATGTAGGACCCCGTATACTGCTCCAGCTTGCAATCGACGCTCTCGGTGAAGACCGCGCCGTAGTCGTTGATGAGCAAGACGTTGGCCTGGGGGCGGCCATTCTTGTCGGTCATGATGTCGGACGAGAGCGTGACACCGTCACGCTTCCAGCTGGCGACGATCGGGGAAAGGCCTTGCTCAATCCTCTTGCGGGCCTTCTGCAATCCCGCACCTCCGACGTAGCGGCGACGAGGGGGAACGTAACCTTTTGGCGCGTTGTTGATGCAACGGACAGCGTTCCGCCACAAAACGTGGTCCGCGTGGTGCTCCGGGAGGCGCAGGCCGGCCCACAAAAGGCAGATGGCGTCGTCCGCATCTGTCTTCGCGCAAGCAGCCGCGTCGCCATAGGTGTCGCTGATGCAGGCTTGTTTCGCGCGTCCAGAAACAGCCTCCAGGGCGAACTCCTCCGCCTGCCGCTTGAAGTCGCGAGAGGAATGCTTCTTCTCGTAAAGAGCACGGATTTCGTTGCGGGCCGTTGAAGGAGCAGCATTGCAGAGGCGCACCTCGCGGCGACGCATGCCCTTCCAGGTGACGATGTGCTGCGCGCAGCGGTAGGCTCCGCCGACGAACTCCAGCTTGCAATGCTTGCAAATGCGCGGAACGCCCTTCACGCCCTCGCGGATGGGGACGCGAAAGTGCTTGAACACCACGTGGTTGGTATCGGGCTGAAACTCCTGCGCGGTGGAGGCCTCGGCGCTTGCATCCGCACCAGCGGTGCCACTCGCGGGAGTGGGAGTTGGAGTAGACATGGTAGCTGTGGCTAGAAAACTCTGAGAGCTGGAGGTAGAAAGCGCTGAAAGTGGAGTAGAACAATAGCGAATGAAAATTGGGTGGAGAAAGTTCACCTTCTATAGCCGTGAGCAGCTTTGCTGGTGGACTGATGGGTTGGAAGTGAGAGAGATAAGCTGGGGTTGAATGCGGTAGGAACATGTGTAGCTTTCAAATTTTGAAATTTGGGAGTTCATTGGTGTCCGCGGCGTGCGAACAATGTTGTGCGAATTGCGAACTCGAAATTTGCAACTTTTGTTTTTTTTTTTTTTTTTCGCCCGGGCTGCCCGCAATATATCGAAGCGTACATCTAGCGTTTTTCGTTTTTGCGTGTATACGCTAGCGTACAAACGCAGTACGCTTACAAACCCAAGCGTATATTCCAACCTAGCTAAGGAACGAACGCAGAGATCACACGAGCATCCGTGCCTAGCCCGTAGTCTAGCTCCCGTTGCTAAAGTAATCTCCGCATGGTGCGGTGAGCGTGGACGGCACCCGACTTACCTTTCAGTCTAGTCGACTTAGTTGCACCTTACCTAAGTTGTTCGTAGGCCGGCAGCTGTGCGATAGTCACTATGGTAGGAGCCGTAGGTGACACGGGGGTGGTGGACACCCTGGAGGCACGGCTGGAAAACGCGAGGAGGAAGCACGAG